TCCCATTACTCTCCAGCTCCAAAATCCCCCTACTCATTGCTCTTAGAAGAAAACATGGTGGGGCACAGTGGCTCATGCTTGTAATCCCAGCCCTCTTGGGAGGCCAAGGCGAGAGGATCACTTGAGCTCAGGAATTGGAGACCAGCCTGGGCAACAACGCGAAACCCCGTCTCTACTAAAAATGCAAAAATTAGTCTGGGCACCATGACTCATGCCTGTAATCCCAGCACTTTGGAAGGCTGAGGCAGGCAGATCACCTGAGATCAGGGGTTCGAGACCAGCTTGGCCAACATGGTGAAACCCTGTTTCTACTAAAAATACAACAATTAGCCGAGCGTGGGGTTGGCAGTGGCCTGAATCCCGCACTTGGGAGGCTGAGTGCATGAGAATCAATTGAACCCAGGAAGCAGAGGTGCAGTGAGCCAGAGGTCCATACCACCTGCAGCTCCAGCCTGGGTGACAAGAGCAAGATTTCTGGTCCTCAAAAAAGAATAAATAATAATAAAAATACAATAAATAAATACAATAAAACAATTAAGCCAGGCATGGTGGCGTGCACCCTGGGTCCGCACCTACCTCAGGAGGGGCTGGAGGTGGGGAAGACTCACCTGGAGCCTGGGGGACAGGTTGAGGTGGCAGTGAAGCCGGTACGCCCCAAGCCGACGGCTCTTCCCAACCTGGGATTACTGGCCTGGTAATGCCCAGCGACTTTGGGAGCCGAGGCGGTGGATCACTTGAGGTCAGGAGATCGAGGACCATCCTGGCTAACATGGTGAAACCCCCATCCTCTACTAAAAAATATTAACCAAAAAAAAAAAAAAAAAAGAAGCAAGAAGACAAGAAAAGAGAAGGAGAATGAAGGAAGAAGAAGGAAGAAAGGAAGAAGAAGGACAAGAAGGAGAAGAAGGAGGAGGAGGAAGAGGAAGAAGAAGATGGAGGAGGAGGAAGAGGAGGAAGGGAAGGAGAGGAAGAAGAGGAAGAAGAGGCCTCCACCCCCATCTGGTCCCCAACATCCACTCCTTCCTTAACTCCTCCATCTCTCCCCCACCTCTCTTCTCCAGTTACACCACAACCTATTTATCTTTTGTTGTTGTTGTTATTGTTGAGACTGACTCTCACTCTGTTGCCCAGACTGGAGTGCAGTGGTGCGATCTCGGCTCACTGCAGCCTCCATCTCCCAGGCTCAAGCAATTCTCTTGCTTCAGCCTCCCGAGGAGCTGGGATTACAGGCATCCGCCACGATGCCCAGCTAAGTTTTGTATTTTTTTGTAGAGACAGGGTTTCACCATGTTGCCCAGGCTGGTCTCGAACTCCTGACCTCAAGTGATCCACCCGCCTCAGCCTCCCAAAATGTTAGGATTACAGGCGTGAGCCACTGAGCCCGGCCAGAACCCATTTTGCTTTCTTCTGCGCCTCAGACACTCGGGCGTTTCCACCTCAGGACCTCTGCACTTGCTGTGTCCCCTGCAGCCGTCATCCTCCTCGGCTCTCCCAGAAGCTGCTACTTCTTCCCCCAGGGTCTCAGCTCAAATAGCTCCTCCTCAGGAAAGCCCCTGCCCACAGCTGCTGAAATGAGTCTCTTTCTGTTGTCTTCTTCGGAGGCAGACCTGTGCCTCAGAGCACAGACTCTGGAGCCGACCAGCCTGGGTTAAAATCCCACCTCTGTCACTTCCTGACTGTATGGCTTTGAAGAGTCTCCTAACCTCTCTGGGCCCCAGCTTTCTTCTCTGTAAAATGGATGTGATGATGATGCACGTGTGGGATGTGGGAGAATTAGATGCCTAGTCTATGTTCCAGTCCCGTGGCAGGGTTTTTCATGATTTCTTCCTGTGCGCAAGAACCCCCTGAGGGCTTGGAGGGCAAATGTTTGTTGACTGAATAAATGAGAGTTGTTTCCTTCCGCAGCACTGTCCATCTATGCCTTGCTACTTTTCGAGATCGAGACAGGCGCAGCAGCCGCTTCCATCCTCGGCTCGGGCGCCCTGGTTCTGGTGGCTGTGCTGACCCACACTCTCCTCCGGGCTGCTCGGGCCACCCGCCGTGGGCTCCATGAGTTGTCCCCGCCATCCTTTGAAGATGACCTCACCCGCCCTGCTGAAGTCTCCAAGGCCAGCCCCAGAGCTCAGCCTCAGCAGGGTATCCATCGTCGGACCCCCTATTCAACCTGTCCAGAGCCTGGGGACCCCTTTGTGTCCATGGCCACTGCCACAGCACCTGCAGCCCTGGGGGGAGGCTGGGAGAGCAGCCTGCCTGCAACCCGAATGCACCGGACACTGTCCGGCCTGGGGCACTGGGACGGGGTTACCCATGAGATGCGTCGAATGCTAGGCCATAGACCAGGGAGCACAGGGAAGGACTCTACACTGGTGTGAGCCCAGGGATAAGGAATAGAGACCTGGTGTAAGAAAAGGATACCATACAGATAGGTTCAGGTTCAGCTGCAGTAGCAGTAGGACTTGATTTTTCTCTCATTTTATTGCATACTTAGCTTTTGTCCTCAAGGTTGCCTCGTGGCACAAAATAGTTGCCAGAGCTCCAGCCTTCACCTCCTCATTCTGAGGGAAAGTCAGAGGCCAGTGCTGGCTGGGTGTCTCCTGGAAGTCTCCCCAGGAAGCCTTGAAACCCTTCATTTTATATCCCACTGGCCAGAACAGAGCGAAATGGCCACACCTTGCTGCCGGGGAGGCTGGGAAATGTGGCTATCCAGATGGATGAGATTCTGTTATTGGCAGAAGGGGAGCAGGGGGCTTAGGCAGTGATTCTCTAAGTGTCTCCATCCATTTTACAGATGAGGAAACCGAGGCCCCAAGAGAGGCAGTGACTCACCAGGGGGCCCACGGCCAGGACTGAGCACCAGAGCCAGGATCCTCACCTGAACCCCGTAATCGCCAGGCTGCTGATATGCAAATCTCAGACTCTGCAAAATCCGCTGCGCCCCCTTGGGCTGTGAACATTTCAAACCCATGTGTGCCAAGCTTGGAGCAGCCCAGGGCCAGAGGCACGGCTGGAGGGCTGGACCCAGGTTCCTGGCTGTGGACTCATGGCTGAGGGCTTAGCCGCTTTGTGCCTCAGTTTCCTCATCTGTAATATGGGGACAAGAAGTGGCCCTGTCTCCAAGGGCTCAGACGAGACACATGACTTCATGTAAGGCATTCTGGGGACCCCCACACAATAGGTCCTCGATGCGTGTTAATTGTTCTCATGCTGCTGCTGCTTGGGGTGTAGACATGGGTAGTTCCTGGGGCTCAAGGAAATAACAGAGGGGTCTCCAAAGGTCTCCTGTCTTGCACAACCCACAAATAAACTCCGATGTTCACTATCTGTGTGTTACTCAATATTCAATTGTGCCACCTGGCCAAGCCCAGGCCCATGGGTGGGACTTGGATCGGGGAAGGGAAGGGCAAGAGTGAGCGCCAGGCCATGCCCCTTGTAGTCCCCAGTCTGGGACGTGTGCTCCACCAGTTGTTTATGTTTGGTTTTGGTTTGAGACGGAGTCTTGCTCTGTCTCCCAGGTGGGAGTGCAGTGGCACGATCTAGGCTCACTGCAACCTCCGTCTCCCAGGTTCAAGTGAGTCTCCTGCCTCAGCCTCCCGAGTAGCTGGGATTACAGGCGCCCGCCACCATGCCTGGCTAATTTTTGTATTTTTAGTAGAGACAGGTTTCACCATGTTGGCCAGGCTGATCTCGAACTCCTGACCTCAGGTGATCCCCCTGCCTCGGCCTCCCAAAGTGCTGCGATTACAGGTGTGAGCCACTGCTCCTGGCCTTTAAACAATCTTTTTGAGATGGAGTTTTGCTCTTGTGGCCCAGGCTGCAGTGCAATGGCCCAATCTCGGCTCATTGCAACCTCCGTCTCCCGGGTTCAAGCGATTCTCCTGCCTCAGCCTCCCAAATAGCTGGGACTACAGGCAAGGGCCACCATGCCCGGCTAGTTTTTACATTTTTTGTTTGTTTGTTTGTTTTCTAGACAGAGTCTCACTCTGTCGCCTAGGCTGCAGTGCAGTGGGGCGATCTCGGCTCACTGCAACCTCCGCCTCACGGTTTCAAGCGATTCTCCTGCCTCCACCTCCCAAGTAGCTGGGACTACAGGCAAGGGCCATCATGCCTGGCTAGTTTTTACATTTTTAGTAGAGATGAGGTTTAACCATGTTGGCCAGCTAGTCTCGAACTCCTGACCTCAAGTGATCCACCCACCTTGGCCCCTCAAGATGCTACAGGCGTGAGCCACCGCGCCTGACCTGAATTGTATACTTTTAAATGGTTGATTCTATGTTGATGTGATTTTCACCTCAACATCTTTTTATTTATTTATTTATTTTTAAGAGAGGGGTTTGCTCTGTCACCCGGGCTGGAATACAGTGTTGTGATCATAGCTCATTGCAGCCTCAAACTCCTGGGTTCAAGTGATCCTCCTGACTCAGTATCCAGAGTAGCTGGGACTACAGGCATGCACCACTACATCAGGTTAATTTTTGTATTTTTAATTTTTGTAGAGATGGTGTTTTGCTATGTTGCCCAGGCTGATCTCGAACTCCCGGGCGCAAACAATTCTACCTCAGCCACCCAGTAGCTAGGATTACAGGGGCATGCCACCATGCTCCCTTACGCACACACAAAAATAAAGCTAGGCCGGGGCAGTGGCTCACGCCTGTAATCCCAGCACTTTGGGAGGCTGCAGTGGGCGGATCACGAGGTCAGGAGTTCAAGACCAGCCTGGCCAACTTGGTGAAACCCTATCTCTACTAAAAATACAAAAATTAGCTGGGCATGGTGACGCACGCCAGTAATCCCCGCTACTTGGGAGGCTGAGGCAGGAGAATTGCTTGAACCGGGACCCAGGAGGTGGAGGCTGCAGTGAGCTGAGATCATGCCACTGCCCTCCAGTCTGGGCTACAGAGCAAGACTCCATCCCCCGACCAAAATAAAAATTGGCTGGACGTGGTGGTGGGTGCCTATAATCCCAGCTACTCGGGAGACTGAGGCAGGAGAATCGCTTAAGCCCGGGAGGCAGAGGTTGCAGTGAGCCAAGATTGCGCCACTGCTCTCTGGCCTAGGCACAAAGCGAGACTCCGTCTCAAAAAATAATATAATAGGCCGGGCGCAGTGGCTCACCCTGTAATCCTAGCCACCCAGTAGCTAGGATTACAGGGGCATGCCACCATGCTCCCTTACGCACACACAAAAATAAAGCTAGGCCGGGGCAGTGGCTCACGCCTGTAATCCCAGCACTTTGGGAGGCCGAGGCGGGCGGATCACGAGGTCAGGAGATCAAGACCACAGTGAAACCCCGTCTCTACTAAAAATACAAAAAATTAGCTGGGCGTGGTGGCGGGCGCCTGTAGTCCCAGCTACCCAGGAGGCTGAGGCAGGAGAATGGCGTGAACCCGAGAGGTGGAGCTTGCAGTGAGCCAAGATCGCGCCACTGCACTCCAGCCTGGGCGACAGACAGAGACTCCGTCTCAAAAATAATAATAATAATAATAATAATAATATAATAAAAATAAATAAAAAGTTGCACCCTGGGCACCTCAACAACCTCACCCTAGGCTGGTCCCTGCTCTTCCTCCTGATACCTCAACCTTGAACCTTGGAAACTATAAGGTTCCAACTTGGGAGGCCCAGCTGAAAACCTGCCCCCTCGTCTGCACTGCCTGGAAGGAAAGCTGAGCTACCAAGCATCTTCCTATCTCAGCTAGAATCAGGTGAGGCGCAGGGCAAGGCTGGTCCTGGGGCTGCAGCCAAAACCTCCAGACTGCAGGCACCTGATACCGGTTTGGCGTGCGGCTTTCAGAGTGTTCCGGGAGCTGGGCAGACCTGCCTTAAGGAACAGTCATGCAAACTCAGTTTCCTTCTTCATAAACAGAGGTGATCTCCCCTACCCACCAAGTCATAGGCATAAGGCCCCAGTCGAAAGGGTAGAAATGCCTCCATTAATTCCACAGGCCTCACAAACACAAGCTGTCAGCATTCTGGTATGTGCTAGGGTATGAACAGTAGCTGTCAAAGATGTTGTCTTGTGAGAGGATCACCTGAGGCCAGGAGTTCAAGACCAGCCTGGGCAATATAGGGAGACCCTATCTCTAGAAAAAATTTAAAAATGAGCCAGGCGTGGTGACACACACCTGCAGTCTCAGCTACTTAGGAGGCTGAGGCGGGAGGATCAGCAATGACTGAACCAACTGCAATCCAGCCTGGGCAACAGAGCAAGACCCCATCTGTTTAAAAGAAAAGCTGGCAGGGTGCAGTGGCTCACTCCTCTAATCCCAGCACTTTGGTAGGCCAAGGCAGTCGAACTGCTTGAGGCCAGGCGTTCAAGACCAGCCTGGCCAACATGGTGAAATCCTGTCTCTATTAAAAATACAAAAATTAGCTGGACACGGTGGAAGGGACCTGTAATCCCAGCTACTTGGGAAGCTGAGGCAGGAGAATCGCTTGAACCCCGGAGGTGGAGGTTGCAGTGAGCCGAGATCATGCCCCTGCACTCCAGCCTGGGCGACAGAATGAGACTCCGTTGCAAAAAAAAAAAAAAAAAAATTAGCCATGCA